CTTTCTTTCTTTCTTTCTTTCTTTCTTTCTTTCTTTCTTTCTTTCTTGACAGATGGGCAATATTCCATTGTATAGTGCCATTTTTTTGATCCATTCATCTATTGATGGACATCAAAGCTGTTTCCAATTCCTGGCTATTATGAATAGCAGCAATGAACATGAACAAGCAAGTGTCTCTAAGGTAGAATTGATGCTTCCTTTTGGTACATGCCCAAGAGTGATATAGCTGGCTCTTGAGGTAGATCTGTTCCCAGCTTCCTGAGGAAATGCCATACTGATTTCCTCAGTGGTTGTACAAGTTTTCATTCCCACCAACAATGGGTGAGCATTCCCCTTTCCTCACATCTTTGCCAGCATGAACTGTTATTTGTTTTATTAATCTTGGCCTTCTAACTGGGGAAAAATGAAATCTCGAAGTAGTTTTGATTTGCATTTTCCTAGTGACTAAGGATGCTGAACATTTCTTTAGGTGATTCTTAGCCATTTATTTGTGTTTAATCTTCGAGATTTCTTTGTGTAGATCTGTACACCATTTTTTAAAATTGGGTAACTTGTTTTTTTAATGTCTTTTTTTTTTTTTTTTTAGTTTTTTTAAAAAGTATTTAGGTATTATTCCTCTGTTGTATATGTAATTGGTGAAGATCTTTTTCCCATTCTGGAGACTGCTTCTTTGTCGAAATGATGGCATCCAGTTGCTATACAGACAGCAGGTAAAGTTTTCAAGGGCAAACCTAACCTCAAGGGTAACCTGTGATTCAATTAATTATCCCCTTAGTGTACCACAATAATTTTAATTTGAGGGAATGGAGGCTTAGATTTGTACAAGTATTCAAATTTTACGTAAAGGATAAACATTAAACCACCGATTACTAAATATATTCACTGTTTGTTAGCTTGAAGCTTGCCCTGAATGCAACTTCTAACTGGATAGTTATAGACTTTATATCGCATAAGTTAACCATGTTGAGGTTGCAAAGTTAACTCAGGATGGAAATTGTTTGGAATAAGAAGGGAATAAACCCATGTGAACAAAGACATGCGCAAAACGTTTCGGTTATCCTGTGTTTGGCTTGTATTTTGTGCCCTGATTCAGAAAGGAATTTGGCGTAAGAGTTCATTCAGTCTTAAAACAAAGTTGAGCTGCAGCCGGGCAGAACCTTTAAGGTCTAGGAAGGGGGAGGCTCCTTGAAGTCAGCCAATCAAGCTCGGAGGCCTATAATTTAGGGAGCGTCCTGTCCTTCTAACGTTCTCTATCTCGCTTCTCGTGGGCTGGTGAGTGCGCAATTAATTCGGATCTCTGTTTTGTTTTTTTGTTTTTTTAGTTGGAACTCTGGGTTTTCAATTTCCCTTTCTTTTGAGCGGAGTTACCAGGGGAAAGGCTTTTTATCTCAGGTCAGTGCTCAAGTATGTGAGCTGAGAAGAGCTTAGTTTCTGCCTTGGGAGGTCAGGGGAAGGCAGGAAGGTGGACTACCTGGCTTGTTTCCACGTGGGCCTCGGCGGTCCTGGGTTTGCCAGCGCTTCCGAGACGTAGTGACCCAGAAACAGTAGATTCTGCCTCGAGCACAGAGTGCCCGAACCTCGGGAAATCCTTGGCTTGTTTTTGGCTGGTTGGGAATGTCACCGTTATTACCTCGGCGCTAATCTGGGGCGATCCTGGGAGGAGGAGTTCAACTTGCCGTTCAGTTCTCCGATAAATGTCAGTGGGGGGCACGACCTTGGCGGATTTGAGACCCTTTTTAAACAGTGTTCGTTGTACTATTTGTTCAGGGCATGTGAGACTAGATAGTAAACTCTGAGGACAGGTGATTTAAGCAGCCGTAGGAGCTCTAACTGTGGCTGTGTCCTAAAACACTTTGAAAAGGACCAGAGGTTTTAGCAAGCCAATATTTAAATTATAGCGCCTCGGTCTGTTCTCTTGATACTGCCCTGGTGACTTCGGGGGATAGTGTGAGCTATTCTTGCCTTTCTTTGTGAAGAACGGACAAAATATAAAGCCCAGCCCATACTTTGTGTATAGTAAATGGTAACTACTTTGCAAAAGTAAGGTGTGGATTTACAATACATATTTTGGATACTTTTTTCTCAAGATAAAATTTCTTTTAATGACCTCGTGTGTGGCTCTCACCAGACTCCTGTTTTGCTCTCTGAAACTAGTCTGAATGTAAACTGTTGATGATGATTAATATAATTATTAATTTGTTTTTCTGAGACCGGTTTCTCTGTGTAGCTCTGGCTGTTCTGGAACTCGTTTGTAGACCAGGCTGAGGCTTTGAACTTGGAGATATGCCTGCCTTTGCTTCCTGAGTGCTGGGATTAAAGGAAAGCATGAGCCACCACCGCCAGTTATTTTTTTTTTAAAGATTTATCTTTAATTATGTGTGTACATGTGTGGGGATATATGCAGACAGTAGGCTTTTTAGAGGATTTTAGATCCACTGGAGCTGGAAATACTGAAAGGTTAGAGTTAATTCCTGGGGCTGGGGCAGAATCACAAGACCACATTCCTTTCAGAGCAGAGGGCTAGCCCAGAGGCTAGGGCAGAATCACAAGACCACATTCCTTTCCGATAATGGGCCAGCAGCAGTCCCCACCCAGATAAACCGCAGGGTATGACTGGAGTCACATGGCCCCTAAGAACTAGAGGTCAGATGTCTCCCAGGTAGCTAGGCCCGACCGTTAGCAGTCTTGGCACCTAAAAATAGACCAATCATTTTAAAGGTCAGCTTCCCTAGAGACCACCCCGCTTGCCGGGGAGCCGGGGGTCGCTTGCCCAAAAGTCTTTGTAAAGGGCAGCCACCCGGGCTCGAGCTTGTAATAAAAAGACCCTCATGTGTTTTGCAACAGAGTTGATTCCTGTAGATCTTTTGGGAGCTCGAGAACTGGGTGTAACAATACTACAGCAGTGAGCTGCCCAATATGGTACTGGGACTTGAACTCAGGTGCTCTGCAAGGTGGCAAGCAATCATAATTGTTGGTCCATCTCTTTGGCTCTTGGCTTAGCTGGTTATTCTCTTTATCTTTATTTTTTGAGACAGGGTCTCATGTAGCTCCTGCTCTTCAGGAACTATGTAGATCAGGGTGGCCTCAACTCCCAGAGATCCACTCCTACCGCTGTCTCCTGAGTACTGGAATCAAAGGTGTGTGGCGTCACACCTGGCTCATGGGTTATTGTTATAGGCAGAAAATGTGAGAAAGAGAAACTCTAACCGAGCTAATTGAATGTGCTAATAGGTATAGGTGACTCTTATATACTTAAACTTGAGCTTCTTTTAAGTCCATGATTACATGCTTATGTATATGTGCACCGTGCCTGTGCCTGGTGCCTGGTGCCTGCAGACTGCTGCAGGATAGTTGATCACACTGAACCTCCATATTGTGTTATTTAGTAAAAAAAGATGTTTCTAGTTTTGGTGTAGCTCAGCCTTTAACACATTTACTTTCTCTGGCTGGAATAAAGACACACCCGTAGTACACACCTTTAATCCCAAACTATGAAGGTAAAGTTAGTTTGTAGAAGGAAGCACCCATGTTTGAAAATGATGTCTAATTAAATTGGGTGGCATAAAAAGTGATGAATCAGAGAAAGACAGGACAGAATAGAATATGCCCAACTCTCCCAAGAAGAGAGAGCAAAGGGAAGCTACTCAAGGGAGCAGCACAGAGAATGAGAGGTGGCAGTTTTACTGGGAGAGTTTCACAGAGACAGGTGGAAGAGAAAACAAGCTCTACACAGGTGAAGACAGAAGGAACAGAGGATGAGAAGGAACCAGAAAATTAGAACAGATTGCTGGAATTAATTTGAGGCCAAGCAGAGCAACTCAACTCAGAGAAACTGAGAAAAGCCAGATTGAATAAATCAGCTGTTGCAACCTGCTTAAACTATAGAACCTCTTTTGAGACCTAATTTAGTTCTTAGCATAACTATGGCTCCTCTGTTAACACCTGCTGTAGCCTTTAGCATATCAAAAGCCATTTTGCCTCCCAACTCTCCATTTTGATCATAAGGTGAATTTTTTTTTTCATAAGGTGAAATTAAGTTCAAGTTCTTAGGCCTAGATGTACCGGAATACAATTCAAAAGTTCAATACTTGCTGCTTAAAATAAAACAATATATGATAAATGTATGCTCTGTTGGAGGAAGGACAGTAACATCCTGCTATGTTCCTTACTCCCAGAAAGCTGGAAAGCTCCCAAGAGAGCTCTCCTACCCTAAATCCCAGCCAATCAGTTTATTAGCTACCTAAATACCACACAATACACTTGGAATAAAATCAGTTATACTTAGTCAAAATGATCTAATGTTGCTCCCCCCTCCAATTTCTACACCTGGGTACCTGGGTACGGTTTTTTGTATTAAAACAAACAAACAAACAAACAAACAAACAAACCTGCCTTAGAAACAGACCAGAGTCATAGTCTGGCTTCTGAGTCCATATTATGGCTCTAACCAGTCAGTTTTTGTTCAGCAGTCAACCTTCCATCAGTCTGAGTCTGATGTCTGAATGGTCAGTTTGCGGCTGTTCCTGAACCCATAACAAGCTGGGAGAAGAGTTTGAGCCAGAACAGCTGAGTTGAACCAGCCAGCAAGCGTTCAGAAAGAACAAGAAAGGGTGAGCTTATTCAGCAGTAAGTCTTAGAGGCTGAAAACATTCTAGGCCTAGGTTGGGCTGTATGGAATCTAGAAGCTTCCAGGCGTAGGTTAGCAGATGGAGGTAGTAAGTGTCTGGGATACTTAAATCAGGTGAGTAAAGGTTACTTTTACAGCAGAGTCTACAGGACGTTGCCTCCCCTGGAACTGTAGTCACTGAGCGTTTTGAGACGCTAACCCTGTGAGTGCTGAGAACAGAACAGGAGTTCAGCGGAGTGCACAGTGAGGTTTCTCACCGTTGTCTCCCTAGGACTGTATCTTAGGACACTGGGTGCATGCATAGTGAAGTATGGCTCCTCACTTCTTTCTCCACATAATTACACCCTATGCTCTTCTCCATACTAATAAATAGCATCCACATGCTTTGTCACACTCCAACATATGTACATGCCATAATTTATTTTAGTAGCTTATGATCTTATGATTTACTCCCAAATGAGTGAGTATAAATAGGTCAGCCGGCATGTGTGGCATTAGAGTTGGGCTTTAGTTTTGTTTGTTTTTCTTTTTTCAAGATGTTTCTCTGTGTAGCCCTGCCTGTCCTCAAATTCAGAGAAATCCACCTGCCTCTATCTCCGGAATGCTGGGGTTAAAGGCATGTTCCAGGACAGCCAAGGCTACACTGAGAAACCTTGTCTCAGAAAACAAAACAAAACAACAACCAAAGTAAGATTGCTAACAGTAGATACTAAGTGTGTTCACCAGACAAAGGATAGAAGGTAATGGATATCTCTTCCCAGACACTATCCACTAGACCATGCAGTTTGTATTTGTCAGTTATATATTAATAAAGCTAGGGAAACAATAATAACAAATTTATTTTTTAAACATTAAGCTTAGTTACTTTACCATTCTCTAAGCCTTGCTTGCATATTTTTGAAACAAAGACCATTGAACTTAGAAAATGAAGTAGTATGTAGGAAGTAGGTTATAAACCCTAAGGTGGGAAAACTATAATGAAATAGGGGAAATAGTAACCTAAAAGCAAGCAAAGTTTTACTGCTCCTCGAATCCTGATTGTAAGTTATTATTAGCTTTCAAGCACTCCTCACTAATCTTAGCAGCCATGGGCCTGGATGGATGAGCTAGTGTGATGAGGTTGGTCATATATGTTCCCAGTGTATTCTGCCCCCAGTAAAACAAGTTTTCTTATGCTAGACAGCCGATAGTGAGTAGGAAATGGACCTTTTCTGTATCCAACCATCCAGGGTACAATAAGAAGTTTCTACCTTATGTATCTTAGACACTTTAAATGCAGGGGCCATGCACCTCAGGAAGACATCAGATTCGTTTTTCGGGGAAGAGAGGATGATCGAGCACAGTTTTGTCATTTGGAAGTGGCTCAAAAGACAAAGATGTTAATTCCTAAGGCAGTATAAAGGGCTGAGGCAGCTGAGCTCATCACCCCTCTGCTTACTTTCTTCTGTTATCTGTTTTCAGGTTGAAGATGAAATGTGTCCAGGAGGAAAGAGCTGGGATTGTAGCACTGTGTGTGTCAGCCCACAGGTCCTGTGAAAACCCCAGAATATCTGTGAAGTGGGCCTGGATTTGGACATTCTCAAGAGGAAAGTTTAAAGGATGATGGGAGGCCTATTTTCTGCATTACAAGCATGCTGTTCCCTTCCCCTCCTCATGGTGTAGGAAACTGACTGAGCTGCCATTCTGTTCCAGCCTTGTGGAAAATTATTTTGAAACAGAATCTTGCTAAGTTATCCAAGCTTGCTTTCAATTTGCTGACCAGCCTCAGGCTGGAATTAACAAGTTCACACCACACTTCCTTCTTCTTGTGTTTGTTTTGAGACAGGGTCTCACCACGTATCCCCTGGCTGGCCTCAAATTTGCTATGTAGACCAGGTTGGCGTTCAACTCCATCTGCCTGCCTCTGCCTCCTGAGTACTGGGATTAAAGGCGTGTGCCACCACACCCAGCGGTCTTTGATTGTGGCATATTTACAAAATTCTTATGGTTTGGCATTTGTTGGGGGGGCGGGGAGAAAAAGAGAGAGAGAGAGAGAGAGAGAGAGAGAGAGAGAGAGAGAGAGAAGCACCACATTTTGTGGAAGGGAAGGCAGTAGTAGTATTTGACACCAGGAGAGACCAGGCCTCTTGAAATTTGGTTTTATGAGATAGAGTGGTTGTCCCTTTGATCCAAGCAGCACTTGGATCAAAGGCTTTGAGGCAGATATTGTTCAAACACTTGTGTGTGTCTTTCTGTGTGTTCACTTAATCTCCTGTCTATGCGATGAGAAGACTGAAGTAGACCTTTGAGCATGCATGTCTCTGAGGTCCTTAAAACCATGTACAGAACTCACTTACAGAACTGTGCCATTTTCTCATTTAGTCTAAACCATCTTCTGGAGCTATTTCACACTCAAGTGAATAGTATGGTGTTTAGACTGAATTGTTATACTTCAGGGAATTGATGTAGCCTGTCAGAGGCAGAGATTTCTATGTAAATGTGAAGTTAGGAAGTTTTTTCTTTTTTTCTGGGTTTTGTAGCCCAGATTGGTATTATATTCCTGATCCTCCAAATTTCACCTCCCAAATGTTGGGATCAGAAGTGTTTGTCACCACATTGGCTATATATGTAGTAGTAATTTTAAAGGTAGCATTTTTTTCTTTTTTTATCAACTTATTAGTCATATTGTTTTGTTTCTGCTTTTCAATGGAGTTTTCTTCAATGATGTAAGTGTTCCATATTGTGTTGTCCAGGATTGCAATACAGAATTACTGAACAGTTAAAAATGTTAGTAGTTTGAATAGTTTTGAGATAGTCTTGCTTCGGAGCTTAGGCTGGCCTGGAGCTTGTATTGATTTTCCTTCTAAGTAAGTGTTGCAATTACAGGCTTGACCAAAAAAACCTTAATTTTAACTAAATGGAATGCTTACTTACATGACATTTTAATATCTACCCAAGACATAGCTTCTTATTTGGTCTGACTGGGTCAAACTGGCCTCAAATCCAAAAATCCTCCTTCAGCCTCTTAACACTGGGTTGCACTGAGCCACCACATCTAGACAGTGATTTCTTTGTCTACACTCAAGCACCTTTTTTGTGCCTATCACCAACCTAACAAGTTTAATGTTAAATTACATACTGTGTAAAGAATTTCTAGATCATAATTAGGTCAAGAGTAGAAGTGTCTGAAGGTTATCTGTGATAATGAACTTTATTTTGGTTATAAGTAAGCTCTTCTCTCTCTTTTTTTTAAATTAATATTACATCCCAACTGCAGTTTTCCATCCCTCCTTCCTTTTCCTTCAGAAAAGGGCAGGCCTCCCAGGGGATATCAACCCAACATAGCATATCAAGTTACCATAAGACTAGGCACCGCCTTTCATACAGGCAACTCAGTAGGAGGAAAAGGATCCCCAAAGCAGGCAAAAGTCAGAGATAGCCCCCTTTTCCCTCTGTTAGGAGTCCCACAAGACCAAGCTACACAATAGAAACATATAAAGTGGGCCTAGGTCCATCCTATGACGACTCCCTGGCTGGCCAGCGGCCAAGTCCCTTTGAGTTAGTTAATTAATTAAGTTAGCTAATTCTGCAGGTTGTGTGTGTGTGTGTGTGTGTGTGTGTGTGTGTGTGAGATGTCACAAGAAATCTCTTACCGCCATCTTGTGGCCAACTGGGTTTTTTTTTCCTACTGTTTTCCTTTGCGGGAAGAGGGTGTTGGACCCCCTGGACTGCTGGGAGCTGCACTGGGAGCAAAACTTCAGTCTTCTGGGAGAGCAGGAGTGCTCCTAACTGTTGACCCTTCCCTCCAGCCTCATGTTTTGCAGGGCCTTTGTAGCTAACCGCTGACTGTAGCTAACTGACCTTATACTCGGTGTGTGACCGTAAACATTCCATCCTCTTGCCTCAGCCCGCTGGAACGACAGGTGTGTGACACCACAGCTGGCTTTCAGGTACACTGAATAGTGAGTCAAACTGAAAATAGTTACTCTAATTCTCCTCATGATTTGCTCTATGGAGCATGTTGGTGTGACCTTTGTGTGTTCGCCTATCACAGGTGCTGCTAAGCAGTCGCTCTGGCGTTTCCATTTGGCTTCTTAAGTGAAAGCTGGACTCATTTCCTTTGATAACAGAGGTAAGTGTAGTAATAATCATCTTTACCATGAAAGATAAGGGGTGCAGTGTTATCAGAGGCTGAATTTCAGTAGTTGCTGGCTGGGGAACAGTGTCAGTAGCTTGCCCTTCCTCAGTCCTTTACAGTTTGCTATGATGAAATGCATGTCAAGTCCGTGTTTCAGCTGATCACACTGATTACACGCATGTGCTGAGCAGACTAAAGGTAGGGCAAACATTTGGAATTGATATTTGCTTTAGCCCTTCCCTCCCAGGGAATTAATAATTTAAAGAGCTTGATAGCATCAAAATTTTGTGAGAATATGAGATAAATCTAGTTGATCCTTAATAACTGAAACACTACAGAAAAGGTACGGACAGTGGATGAAATTCTGTTAGTTAATGAGTTTGACAGTTTAAATTTTTTATTCTATGTATATTAGTGTTTTGCCTTCTTCTGTTCCTGCACAGTAAGTACATACAGCGCCGAGGCTAGAAGAGGACATTGTATTCCCTGTGCCTGGCGGTAACAGACAGCTGTGAGCTGCCATGTAGGTGCAGCCAGTGCTCTTCCCCACCCCCACTTTTTAATTAATGTTTTTTTTTAAGTTTGACAGTTTTAAACCCATCACTTTTTGGTCTTTATATGATTACTTGTTCAGTACTATGCAGTTTTATGAGTTCATGTCTATTCTTTTAAATGGGTTTGCATGATAAACAGGTTATGGATCATACTTGTTCCTTAATTGGCCCTTTTCTATACATGTTTGCATAAGAAATCATTTGGAAGCACACACATATGAACAACCTTGTATCCTCCTGCCTTCCCCCTTCCCCCCCCCCCGCAGAAATTTAAGAAGTACAAAAGAGAGCACCAGATTGATACCAACAACACTTCCTGTCTGGACCTTCATGCTGTAATCATTGTTGTACGATGAATGAAAAATGTCTGCATTGTTTTATGGTAAGAATTGAGCTTGAGAGACTTTGATATATACAAGAATCTGAGAACTTTGCTTTGTAATTTGTGGCCAGCTGCTTGAACTGTAGTTTTTAAAAAGCCAAAGATCTTGAAAGGTTAGGTATAGTACAGTGGTTATATGTAGTATACACAGCTGGCTTCTAGTCAGACTGTGTTATAGGCTTACTCTCTCACTTAATAAGTTACATAATAGCCTTGGCAAGCTTCCTGATATCATTGTGTCTTAGATGGTAATAACAGTATCAGACTCAAAGGGTAGTTATTCTATACTACCTAGAAACTTCTAGAGAGATGGCTTGGTGGTTAGAGTGCTGGTTGCTTCCCCAGTGAACTAGGTGAGGTCTGGCACTAAATTGTCTGTCATTTTGTAAGGCAATTTAAATTAGTGGTCTTCTCTGTTTCAAGTGCTGGATCCCTCCCTATCATCAGAGTGCCTTATCTTCTGCTTCTTAATGTGGTTGGAGGTGAACTTTGCTCCTCTCATGAATTAAGGCCTAAGTGAGACTTTATCCATTATTTACAAAACTGGCTTGGGCTTCTCTGCGCTTCATGAGGATAGACTGTCCACGGTAGTGCTTTCTGAACCTTGCCAAATCAAACAGTTGTAGGATGAAGCATTCAAAGCCCGGCCCAGAGCTATAGAGAACTTTTTGATTATAATAGCGTTCTACAGAGCCATAGTGATTGAGCCTGGAAACATTTATGTTTAAATATTAAATGATTTGTTGTTTTCCCAAGTAATTAATAAAATTTTAAAATATAATATATGTGTATGAGTGTTTTTGTTTTGCTCGAGTGTATGTCTTCACCGTTTACACATGCCTGGTGCTCGAGAAGGTCAAAAAAGGGCATCAAAATCTCTAGAACTGAAGTAACAGGCAGTTGTGAGGTGTTATGTAGCTGCTGGAAATTGAACCCAGGTCCTATGCAAGAGCAGCCAGTGCTCTTTAACTATTGAACCATTGAGCCATCCCAATTAATGAATTCCTTTCTTTCTTTCTTTCTTTCTTTCTTTCTTTCTTTCTTTCTTTCTTTCTTTCTTTCTTTCTTTCTCTCTCTCTCTTTCCCTTCCTTCCTTCCTTTTCCCAGAGATAAGATTTCTCTGTGTAACCCTGGCTGTCCTTGAACTCACTCTGTAGACCAGCTAGCCTGAACTCATAGATCTACCTGCTTCTGCCTCCTGAGTGCTGGGATTAAAGGCATGTGTGGCCACCACAGGGCCCAATTAATATATTTCAGTGTACTGAAAGATGAAAGCTGACCCACCAGAATAGTGTGACAGAATCATGTGAACAAGAACACGAATCAAGCCCTGATAGTTCCACATGATACTTTCTATAGCAGTGTATTTTCATTTTGTGTCAGTGAAATTCATGGGGCTAGATAAAAAGTTTACTTGAGAATTTTACATTAACACAGCTCCTATGTATTATGCTGTAGGAAATTTGCTATGCTGAGTCGAGGAGTCATGTACAGAGGTTTAGTCTAGTTGTGTCTTTAACTGTAAAAGCCTAGAACCAAGATCTATTAGGAGAGTATTTAAATTAGTATAAAGGCAAGCAACAAGTATTTCTTGAGTTGGCTACACCTCCAAGAAAGGTTTTACAAGAGTAACTTGGAAGTGACATTCACAAAGTAAGTATTGTTTATATCTGAGTGTTTATGCTCCTTGAAATTTAAATGAGGTACTTTATTTGTACTCTTATTACGTCAGGGACAGTTAAAACCAGAAAGACTGGAGGATCAGTTATTGCAAACACATGGTAGGCAGTGAATGGTTTACCTATAAACCTTCTTAAAAGAAAGCTGTTTCCCTAAGCTAAGGTGTGCTAAACTGAGTTCCGGGATGCAGACGTAAGGGAAGTCTCAGGGTGCAGAAGTAAAGCAGCTGACCGCAACCCCAGACACCCAGTGAGTAAATGAGATCATAGTCCCAGTTTCGAAACCAGCCTGTCTAAGGAAAACAGCTACTTCTCCATTCCCTATCCTTAGTGATAGAAACCTTGAAACATGAATCTGCATTCTCGAACTCTGGTCATTGAGTGAATGGGTTCTGTTCCCTGATTACTGGCCAGAAATAGAGACACATTTCTCTCTCAAATAAAGCTGGCTATAGCTGTTGGAGGTCATCTATATTCTCATCTTTTATTTTTCCTACAAAGTTAATTTTTACTTTTCTTTACACCTCTAATTTCCCCTGACTAATTTTTACCAACCAATAGGATTAAGTTTCTAGGGATAAAACAAACATTAGAACTATTTCATTAATTGAACTTACATTGGTTGGTGTTCATTGTGTGGCTGTTAATTAGTTCATAACAGGGTCATACCTTCTGAAGCTGGCTGCAAGAGAATGACGTTAGTTTGCATCCTAGCTACCTTCTAGCCCTCTCCCAGCTTATTTTTAACAGGCAGAAAAACCACGGTTGCTATAGGTAATTACGCTCTGAAGGGCAAAGTTAGAGCAGTATTTACAGCAGCATTTAGGAGATGAAGAGATGGCTCAGCACTGACTGCTGCTCTTCCAGAGCTCCAGAGTTTAATTCCCCGAAGCCACTTGGTGGGTCACAAAAGTCTGTAACTGTAGTTTCATGGGAGCCTATGCCCTCTTCTGATGCGCAGATGTACATGCAGACCACACCCATATATATTACGTATATATATTCATATATTACATAAATATTTAAAACAACTCACGTAACTAATTGACTGTCAGCAAAGATAACTCAAGAGTTAAGACTCCTGGGGCTGGAGCGATGCCCCAGCAGTTCTTACTGACCTAGATGATCCAATCTGCGCATCAACAGGGTATCTCACTACAGTATCTCCAGCTCTGGGGCATCCAGTACACTGTTCCCGACTACATGGACACATGTGACACACACGTATTCAAAGAAAAAAAGTAAAAATAACTTGTGATAAAGGGTCTCACTGTGTGGCCTTGGCTGGCCTGGAACTCAAGGATCAGTCTTTTCCTCCAGTGCTAGGATTAAAGAAATGGCGGTAGCCATGCCTGGCTAAAGATAAATCTTACAAAAAATGTATAGCGCTTGATCCTATGGCTAGTTTTGCTTTTTTCTTTTGTTTTGTTTTGCTTTTTTTTTTTTTATTTTTATTTTTTCTGGACAGAGTTTCTCTGTGTAGTTCTGGCTGTCCTGAAACTCGCTCTGTAGACCAGGCTGGCTTCAAACTTGGAGATCTGCCCGCCTCTGCCGCTCCAGCGCTGGCGTTAAAGGTGGGCGACACCACTGCCTAGTGCTTCCTCTAAAAAAAACCGTGTGAATATTTGCAGTGCAGATTAACTGCTATTCCATTAACTGTATATTGACGCGCAGAAGCGGGAGGCTAAGCAAGCATCTGATTATCTCAGCAGCCAGCATCACGTGCTCCCCAGCCGGCCCATCACGTGCTACCCATCAGGCCCTGCGGTCACCACGCATGCGCCCTGGCAACTCCGTGGCACGAATACAGTGTGTCTCCATTTGTGGAAGGCCCGCCCCTTTAGCTTGTGTTGTTGCAGGTATTTTTGCCGTTTTTTCTTTTCTGTGAGAAGTGGGGAAAGGCTGAACATTAAGGGAAGACTGTGGCTCTTGTTCTGAAAAACTTGGCCAGCCATCATCTTTCCCCGTCTGCCTTGTGGCAATGTGGAGTTGGCTGCGCCTTCACCTCCAGAGAGGAAGGGGCGCTTTACCCTTCTGGAGGTAAAAGTAAAATTGGCTTCTGGCTGTCAGTTGAATCGTATTTGGAAATTCAGCGTGGGCATCTTTATATCTGAGAGGACAATGAGACGGCAGTCTCATTGCAGCCCGTAGTGGCCTCAGATTCATGGAATCCTCAGGAAGGGTATGTAGTATAGGTGTGACATTTGAGATGAAGGTGCCAGCATATCCACTGGCCCCTGTTACTAAAGCAACACCGTGTTTTTTTTTTTTTTTTTTTTAAGACAGGAGCTAGCTGTGTAGCCCTGGCTGGCCTTGAACAGGGTTTGATCTGTCTTAGCCTCCTGAGTATTGGCATTACAGGTGTGGCCCATCAAGCACACTGCTAAGGAAACATTCTTAAGTTGTATATTGAATGTACTCAGTTTTTCCTGGTGCTTAATTGATACACCAACGTTACACAACATATAGCTATATATTATACAATATATACTGTTGCTAACTATGGTAGACAGAACTGAGAAGTAACTTAGTCTGGAGAATTTGTTGCAAATGTTTTAAATCAAACCATAGCAATATTGGTAGATGTATTATTTACCTGATAACATTTAAACATGTACATTTTCAGGCTTCATAATCAGTAAATTAGCTTAGTTTATATCTAATTTTATCAGGCAGCCAGTCTTTTAAAATCAAGGCAGTTTGGTTAAGGAATATGAGAAATCAAGATATGTAAAATAGCCTAAAAATGTTACTTAAAGTTTCTATTGAAAAATCACTACAGATATGTGTATCCTCATGTCTGCCAAGCATGAGATGTAGTAGCCCTGACTATCCTGGGACTTACTGTGTTGACCAGACTGATCTTGAACTTACAAAGGTCTGTCTGCTTCTGCCTCCCAAGTACTATATTAAAGACTTGCACCATCATTACTTGCCTTAGTAGAATGGTATATGTTCTGGTGTTGGAAAATGACACGAAGGGCAGATTTAATTTTTATTTCTGTGCACTTTTGTGATGTTTCTAAACACTTGCCTCGTGAATAGTATTATTGACGTTGGTAAGAGTTGAAACTATCTGTATAGTACTCCATGACTTTCTACATGGCCGTTGTATAAGGAAAGACCATAATACTTAGACTGAAATCAATATAATTTTAATTAATACAAAACAATGTCCAGCTTTTAATAAAATAATAGCATGTTTTTTAGAAATTTCATATTCATTACAGTTTGACTTACATTTTCATTCCTTGTTAGGATTCTTATTTTGGAGACTCATCATGTCTTTGTGTGAAGACATGTTGCTTTGCAATTATCGAAAGTGTCGTATCAAGCTCTCTGGTTATGCTTGGGTCACTGCCTGCTCTCACATCTTCTGTGATCAGCATGGCAGTGGTGAGTTCAGTCGCTCACCAGCTATCTGCCCTGCCTGCAACAGTACCCTTTCTGGAAAGCTGGATATTGTCCGTACAGAACTCAGTCCGTCAGAGGAATACAAAGCTATGGTATTGGCAGGGCTTCGACCGGAGATTGTATTGGACATTAGCTCCCGAGCGTTGGCCTTCTGGACATACCAGGTTAGTGCTTAGGGGCCGGGGACTGTCTCAGTGGGTAAAGTGCATGTGAGGACATGAGTTTAGCATCCACAGGAGAGGAAGACACCTAATAGCAAATGTCAGCCTCCACATGCACGGACACACATATAAACCGAAGTGTAATTTGAGGCCTATGTAGGAACTTTTTTTTTCTCTTGGTATGGGGTGCTGAGCTCAGGGCCTTGTGCTTAAAAGGTAAGTGCTTCACCATTGAACTAAATCCCTACCTAACTCCCTTCTGAGGGATTTACTATTTAAAAAAAGTTCCTTCACTATTATACTTATAATTCATATTAATACATGAATGTGCAGAGAACTTTGTTTGAATAGTTTTCCCTAATTTTTATTTATAGGTATTTATTATGTGCTAAGTAGATGTTTTTGTTTTTATGTTTTGTGAGTACTCTGTCTCTCTGTGTCATACTTACTTTTGCTTTACTGTTTATACTGGATTGCAGTATTTGTTTCAGTGCTAAGGGTCAAACTTAGGTTGCTAGCCAGCTGTTCTTCAGCCTGGCTTTTTTTTTTTTTAAGGAAACTGATAAACTGTTTTCCACAGAGGCTGTACTAGTTGTTTACTATGTTCTAGTTACAGGTTCTGCCCAACATGGGGTTGCACATGTGTAAATTATAGGAAGCAAGGATACTTTGGGGTCTTATTTTTTACTCTGGATCAGGAAAACTGGACCTTATATGTGTGTATGCGTCATGTAAATATGTTTTGTGTGTGTGTGTGTTTTGTCTCGGGTGACTTTGAGTTTTGTCGCGCGCGGCCTTTGCCGATAAGGACGACGCAACAACCGAGGATTTCTTCAGCGGCAAGTTTATTGAACAGCTCTTTCTTGGAGATGGTGAAGGACCCAAACCCCGGGTTGTGCTCTGCTTAAATAGCCAGCAGCGCGACCTGTCCGTCTGTAATTGGTGCTCTGTTCAAGTCTTCATAAGCATATGGCTGGCAATTGGAGTGCAGCCTAAACCCTCATTAGCATAAAGCTGCGCATGCGTAAACTGCAGGGCGGCGCAGGCAAGAAGCGCGAAAATGCTGGCAAGAAGAACCAGGAAGCAGGAAGCCGGCGCCATCTTGTAATGGCGGGAGCGGCTCCCGACATCGTTTAACATAGCTGAGGCTTACCTTGTGCTCTTGATCCTCCTGCCCGTATTTCCTATGTGCTGATACCAAATGCATGAGACTTCACAGAACTAATCAGTTCTTCACGTACTAACTTGTGTTGTATTTCTTGAAAACTTCCAGGATGCATGTCGCTTGTAGATAAGACACGCTTTATTTTGGTGGTATGCTTTTCTGTGATCAGCTCATTGTTTTTAACCGGGCTGTAAATGTTGTAGTAACGATGCCCCTGTACAAGCGTTCTTTCCACTTGTGCTTGTAACATTGTGCTGCTTCTGATTTATTTGGACAGATACACCAGGAACGTCTTTATCAAGAATATAATTTCAGCAAGGCCGAGAACCATTTAAAACAGATGGAAAAGATATATACACAGCAAATACAGAGTAAGGATGTAGAATTGACCTCTATGAAAGGGGAGGTCACCTCCATGAAGAAAGTTCTTGAAGAATACAAGAAAAAGTTTAGTGATATCTCTGAAAAACTTATGGAACGCAATCGCCAGTATCAAAAGCTCCAAGGCCTTTATGATAGCCTTAGGCTACGAAATATCACTATTGCTAGCCAAGAAGGTTCCTTGGAACAAGCTATGATCCCACAGTCTGGTGTCTTTGGCTTTCCATTAGGTAAGAAGAAATCTAATAACCAACACTTAGTTTTAAATTAATGATTTTTTCCATTGTGCTGCATAGTTCCACACATTCAGAATGGGGAACCATAGTAAGCTGTGGATTTCTCGTCTTGCTTTATACAGCATCGCTCTCAGTTGTATTTGCATACATACATACATAAATAATAAATACATATATTTATTTGTTTGTTTGTTTTTGGTTGAGACAGGGTCTCTATATAACTCTTGCTATCATGGAATTCACCATATAGACCAGGCTGGCTTCAAACTGACAGATCTGCCTGCCTCTTGAATCCTGGGATTAAAGGAGTGTACCACTATGCCCAGCTTAAATTATTTTCAATTTGGAAAATAACACTTTAAGCCACCTTGCTGGCCCAGATTGCACAGTTCTTATTTTGGCCCTTTGACTGTTTGTTTTGTTTATTCAGATATCACATAATTTTCAAGTATATTTTATGTACAAGTAGGCAATTCAAAATCAGAATCTTTTCTGATTGGTGGGCGAGTGTTGGCTCATTCTTAATGGTACCAGTGCAATAGCATCCAGTAGTTATTTTCCTCAGGATTAATATAATTGTATAAATTGGCATGCAAACATTGAAGTCTCTTATGATGGACTTTTACAAGTACTGAGATTTTGGTGTTTATTTTAGGCTAAGGAGAAAGGAGAGAAAAATAATGATCTAGAATGGGAATGAGGTAATAAGAGCATTCAAACAAAATGTTCCATGGCTGGGTGTAGTGGCCAAGCCTGTAGTTCAGCATGTGGGAGACAGAGACAGGACCCTTGCCAGCTGGTTTACAAACTAGTGTCAGGACTAGAGTGAGACTCAGTCTGAAACCAAAGTTTTGTGCCTAGCTTCATTATTTATAAATGGCAATTTAGTCATTCCAAATAGCCATTGTACATATTTTCTTATCCTTGTACATGTTTTTTCATTCTTTTTGTATATTTTTGAATAGATATTTTCGTGTGTGTGTGTGCGTGTATCTGTGTGTCTGTGTGCTGCTTGTGTGTTTGTGTGTGCACTGCCTATGGAGGCCAGAAGAGGGTGTTGGTTTCCATGGAACTGGATGGTTGTGAGTGTTGGAAACCAAACCTGGGTCTACTACAACACTAGCCCTTTTGACCTCTGCTACCTTTAGGCAGATACAGTCAGCTTTTTCTTCTTTCTCAAGTCTGGTAGAAATGGCCAGATGTGTATTTCATTTGCTTGCTTTTTCATAGAGGGTACAGTATATTTCATGGTAAGGGAAGAGCTGAATGACATGGTCTTTGGTCTTACATTAGGTCTGTATTTATCACAGGGGATGAATTTAAGACAATTACATTATCCACCTTGTTGGAGTTGAATTTTGTTAATATTTATTCAGTGGCTCTTGGTTTTGTTCCTAAAGATCTATTAGGAAATATTCTTATATTCCTCCCTAATTTTCTCTCCTAGGGAATAGCTCAAAGTTTCCTTCGGACCATACACCAGTTGTAAATCGAGGTGGTGGAGATGAAGATGTTCAGTTCAGACCATTTTTTGTGGGTTCCCCCACAGGACCTGAACCCATTAACAATTTCTTTAGTTTTGCTTCTCAAAGCCATGAAGCAGAGCAGCAAGTCTACAGCAGGGCCTTTAAAGCAAAAAGAATTTAGCTCATTTCACGTTTCGAGACTCTCTGTTTTCCTACAGTTTTACTCTAGATGAAATGATTGGCATCCCCAAGTTCTCTTCTTCCATTTTAGAAGTTGGCTTGCAGTAGGGTGTGCAGCTTCCTGTTTGGTTTCTTCATTTGCTTAGGCATGGGCATTTCATGAATCTCAGTCTCTACGTTCATCACTGCTCACAATCACATTGTTGCACAGATCCCTGTTTCAGACTAAGCTGTGTTTATGCTCATGTAAGCACCAGTGGTATACTTACATGATGCTTTGGGTTCTAGTATATATATGTTGTGTGTGCATTGATGTTTCTATGCTAGTATATTTATATAAAAATTATGGTCTTGGAAAATGATGGCCAAAAATGATGGTCTTTGAAAACAGTTGTTTGCTGTTTGCATCTATTTTACACAGTCGTGGATCTTTATTTGTATTATTTTGTTTTGGAGGTGTGCTTGTGTTATAATAAATGCAATTTATTTAATGCATATATGTTCAGCTTATATTTAAAAAATTTATATTGATAAAGTTATTTGTTGATTTCATTGGTATTTGTTTTAAAATAAAACTGCTTCTTTACCTTTTTAGCTGATGTGCTTATTTGGAAATGCATTTATTTTTATTTTTAATTATGTGTGTCTTGAATTTGAAGACTTTGGTCTTTTTTTCTAATCATCTAATCTAAAATGCTGAATAATGGCCACTTTTATTGACCTGCACAGCAAATATGGTAATAAAACATAATGAAGAGCCGGGTGGTGGTGGGGCATACCTTTAATGTCAGCACTCAGGAGGCAGAGGCAGGCAGGTCTCTGAGTTCCAGGACAATCAGGGATGTATAGAAAAACTGTGGTGTTTGTTTGTTTGTTTGTTTTTTAAACCATCATTCAAAAAGGAATGAGGAGCTTTTGTCTTAATCTTCTATGTGAATCTTGTAAGGCTTTTCGGCTCTGCTGACTCAGAACATTGTCAAAGCTGTAAATTCAGCTGAGCCTAGAGTTACACTGGAAGTCCAAAAGGTAGTAAGACTGATTACAAACCAGGTGAGACAGCATACACCTGTAATCCCAGCACTCAGGAAGGCAGAAGCAGGTGGATCTCTATGAGTTCAAAGCCAGCCTAGTCTAAAAGGTGAGTCCAGGACAGCCAAGGCTACACAGAGAAACCCTGTCTCAGAAAAACCAACCAACCAACCAACAAAGCAATAACACCTTCCCCTCCTCCCCCCCCCCAAAAAAAAACAAAACCCAAAACCAAACCAAATTAAAAAGTTAAATTATTGCTTACAATGTTTTCTTAGGTCAGTCAACTCTGAATAGGTTGAATATAAAGTGTAAGTAGAGTGAGTCCCTGTTATAAAGAAAGAAAATCCTGATCATTCAGTTTTACCAGTGAAGGCTCAGGAGCCAGATGCTGGGGTGAAAACTTGCTACCTCAGAGAGGCAGAGAAAACACCTTCCTATGCAGCTGACATCCCGACAGAAAAAGCCTTTTTTCCCCCTGTTGCTGGTTACTTGCTCTGCCTCTTGAGTATGATTGAGTTTATTTAGCTCTTGGATTAAAGGTGTGTGCTAGGGCTGAGCCACAGCACAATACTTGCTTGTAGCTCTAGGACCAACGACTGAGCCATACCACAATTAGAAATAGGTTTTTACATTTCACAGTCTAGGGGTTTACAATGAGATCAAATATCCTGCAATAGGTTTCTAGTTACAAATGACCTCAAAGCACATTAACTTGATAACAGATTAGATGAAAGTCGTATTTGTGAAGGTGAACTTTAAACAGCATTTCTCAAGCCATTCTACCTGTTCTACTCAACCTGTTCTCCTCAGTATAAGAGGTTATATTAATTAGTAATTTTAAACAGTTTTCCTTTATTAATACTATTTCTGATTTATAAAGAAATTGTGCCTAACTGGTGTATTCAATTAGTGTCCCATTAGAGGGCAAACAACATCTGGATTCCAAGTGTTTATCTCTATACACACACTATTGTGAGACTGAGTTAAACCTTCTATGCTTTCTGTTTTGTTTTGAGACAGGATTTTTGTTGTTGTTGTTTGGCTGGCCTGAACTCACTATGTAGATGCTCGGTGAATTCCTGATGAGGAAACTTGGTGAACACCTCTTTCCAGAGGTGGGGCCAAGTAGCTGTAGGTCTTAGAGACGGCATCAAAGATGGCCTTGGCAAAGCTGCCCAGGGGAGCACTGCAGCCCCTGGCTGGGGTGTGGGAGTCATCACTGTCAGCCACAAGCAGCAGCTTCTTGGGCACAGGAGGAGAGACAATGCCAGTGACCCTCGGGGCAGGGATGAGGCACCAACACAGAGCCACAGCGCCTGTCGCCTTGCACGGAACAGTGTGGGGCTTGCTGTACTTGTTCCCCCAGTAGCCTCTCCGCACAGGGACAATTGATAGCTTGGTTGAGGTGATGGTCCCTCAACAGCGGCGCTACCTCCTTGAAGCACTTAACATGAAGACCAACAAGTAGAAACACATGTTATATAGCTAATAAAATACATTTTACAGATTATAGTGTAAAATGCGAATTTTTTTTTCTACGAGGGTTTTTCAGTTTTGTTAGAAAAGGGTATGAGGAAATAGGTATTTTGAACAGTAGGGCAACATTGAAACTAAAAAGGGAATTGCAAACTGTTAGGAGTATTAGGTTTCTTTAAAAAATTATTCAAGAGTTAGGTAGCTTAGAACTGGAATTATAGACGGTTGTGAGGGGCCATGTAGTAGAGGAATTTGAATTCAGAACATGGCTGCTCTGGCAAGAAATTACATCTAAAGAACTTCTTTAGGTCTGTGTGATCAGGCTGGACTACAGACGCACCTTTAATCCCAGGAGACAGAAACAAGCAGATCTCTGTGTTCAAGAACAGCTTGGTACAGAGCAAGTTTCAGGTAAAGAAAAGCTTAGGTCCTGGTGTGGCTGTACATGCCTTGAATCCCAGTGCTCAGGAGGCAGAGGCATGCAGATCTTTGAGTTCTATTCAGTCAGTTCAGTTGAGTCAGTAAGTTGAGAGGCAGTGCAGTGGAGTTAAGTTCGTGGAATTCAGAGGCAGTTATTTATTTATTCGTTCATTCATTCATTCATTCATTCATTCATTCATTCATTCATTCATTCATTTAGTATTCTGCTTGCATGTGAGCCAGCAGGCCAGAAGAAGGCACCAGATCTCATTATAGATGGTTACGAGCCACCATGTGGTTGTTAGGAATTGAACTCGGGACCTTTGGAAGAACAGCCAGTGCTCTTAACCTCTCTCTAGCCCCCAGAGGTTGTTTTTACTAGGAGAGTTTTACAGAGAGAACAACATTGATACGGCTGAAGATAGAACGAGAAAGCCAGAAGATTAGAACATATTGCCAAAGTTATTAGTATGAGGCCAAGCAGAGCAATTCAGTCAAAACTGAGAAGCCAATTTGAATCAGTCAGCGTGGAGAGGAGTTTGAGCCAAAACAGTTGAGTTGAACCAGCCAGCGAGAGCTCAGAAATAGCTAGAAAGGGTGAGTTTATTCAGCAGTAAGACCCAGAGGCCTCTGTACAATCTAATCTAGACCTGGATTAGATTGTACAGAGGCTTCCGGAACTAGGCCTAGGTTAGCGGACAGAGGCAGTAGCCTCTGAGAAAACAGTTAAATTAGGTGAATATAAGTTACTTTTACATCATGTGGATGCTGGGATTGAACCTGGATCCTGGAGAGGCAGCCAGTGCTCTTCACTACTAAGCCATCTCTCCTGCCCACGGTGGGCTCCTTTCAAGGGTATGAAAAAAGAATAAAGGGAAATTATCATTTCTTCCTTCATTTTTGCTGTTCAGTTTCTTTAGAGGCAGTTGCTGTTGGAGATATCTAATATCGCTTTTCAGAGATAATGTTTTTAGCAAGTGACTTTAAAAAGTTTTAAAATTGTGGTTGGATTTGGTGATGCATGTCTGTAATCTCAGCATTTAGAAGGCAGAGACAGGAAGATCTCTGTGAGTTCCAGACCAGCCTGGTCTACATATAGAGTTCCAGATAGTTGAGGCTACATAGGGTGACCTTGTCTCAAAAATTAAAGTAAAAATAAATGTCAGGTATATTAATGAATGTCTATAGTCCAAGCATTTTAAAGTGGGTGCAGGAAGATCAGGAATTCAAGGTCATTTTTGGCTTTATAGGAAATTCCAGGTCAGCCTGGGATACATGAGACTGTCTCAAACAAACAGAAGACTTAAAATGTTTATTTTTGAATAAGCAATTCATGTTCAAGGTAAAAAGCGGAAAATAGAATGAAAAGAGTTTTCTGGGTTCACCCACGGTTCTCAACTCCCCCCTGCTTCTCTCTTCAGAGACTGTCTCTTTCGGAGATAATAAACACGAGAACATCATTAATGTACAGTGTGGGGGCATGGCAGCCCCAAACATAGATTTCTTAAGAGAATGCATTAAAAATGCTAAAAATTACAGGAGCAGAAATCTTCAGTTGGAATATATTCAGACAAGTTAGCCTTGTAGTACATTCCTTCTAAATAGTCCAATACATGGACTTTCATAACAGGTCTTGCTTTTTAAGAGCGATGTAAGCAAGGACAAGAATATACAAAACAAAAATTTGGGTATAATTAATGTAAGAACATTTTGATTCCGGAATTTGGGAAGGAAACATGAAAATTATTTATGAAACCGAAAGTGATCACAAACTGAGCAGGTGCCTGTTATCCCATTTGGGAGGCGGAAACAAGTCCAGCCCGGACCACTTAACCACACTGAGGTACGTGGTGAGACAGTGTCTCAAAAAAACAGAGCAAAACAAAACCCAAAAGCGGCTCCGGGACACCTTCGAGCTACCAAAGTTTGGATTAAGCGAGTTTGTAGCATGTTCTCTGAGGGGCAGGTGGGCCTCCAGAGCCCTAGAGGTCGCTGTGGTTTCATCGTGGGAACGGCTTCGTCTCTGTGGTTGAGAAGTTGGGGGAGGAGAAGCCGAGAGCGGCTGGAACGATGGCTGATGAAGAGGAAGAAGCGAAGCGCATCTTGCAGAAACTGCAGGTGAGGCTGTGAGTTAAAATATTTGTTTAGTTGCTTTGGAGGGAGGAAGTGCAGGGGTCAGGGCCGGGGTGGCGGAGGGTGGGGGCTCAGTCTGGACTGCGGGGTGCTCCTTGGGGGCCCGAAGAAGTCCGCCCACTCGGGATTCCTCGGTAACTAGTAGCTGGTACGTGGTGTGGCAGGTCGTCCCGACTGTTAACGGAGTTGTTCGCTCTCCACAGCAGCCATTTCTTTAGCATCTTTCTCCTTTGAACTTGGCAACCCTCAGTAATGCCCTGGTTGTTGGCTTTAGGATTTACCATCTTAATCACCTAACCCCCCACCTCCCAGGTGGCCTTTCTAGAAAGGCAGAAAGGAGTTTCCTTCAAGTTTATGTCTTTACTTTTGTTTTAATGATCAAGATTTTTCCTTTAACCTCAGAAACTCAGTTTGTGGTCTAAGACATTCTGGAATTTGTACTAGAACTATGCTTATATACTTATCTCAATTTTGTTTTATTTATTTCTTTTTGGAGACAGGTTCTCATGTATTTCTGGGTCTCTTGGGACTGACTGCCTTTGTAGGCCAGGCAGTCCTCGAACTCACAGAGGTATATTTGCCTATGCCTCCTAAGAAGTGGGATTAAAGACATGAGCCATAATGCTCAGCTATTTCTAACACATTTTAAAGCATTGATCATGTGTCTTTGTTTCTGGGGGTGCATTAAAAGACCACTCAGAGCATGGGCTTGGATTAACTTGATTCCTTAGTGTGGTTGGCAGAAATTAGATTCTTCTGTTCTCAGAGAGACTTTAAGTACACTGTGTACATTTGTACAGAAAAAAATACAAAACATTAGAATAGTTTTTGTCCTTGAGGCTATTTGGAGTGGCTATGAATCACTCCCCTATTTTCACACTTTCCTACTCTCATTTAACAACTTATTTGTATTGCTATTGCTGCCACAGAAAAATGTTCAGTCCAGCAAAACCAAATTGACTACACCACAGACAATAAGACCTCTTTTTAGGTTTGTAGCCGTGCTCATATTGTGACAAAAAGTAATTGGTTGCTACTTTTGCTTAGAACTCTCTTAAAAAAGAATATTTGGCAAATTGTGTTCCACATACCATCTTGACAAATTTTTATTGTAGAACGAATTGAAAATGCTGGCTTTATGTATGTGCTCAAATCAGTGTCTACAGGACTTTTTGTTTTTTCTGGGAATAGTATACAGAATGTTTAAAAGCACTACCGACAAAGGTGCCTTTTTGTTCAGGGCTTTGAATTACATGTAACAGTTACGGATTTGTTACTAACATGGGCCTATATAAACTAATCACTTTATTTAACGAGAGCCTATCATGATCTAGCCCCTGTTCTAATGCTTAAGGATCGCCCCAATCAACACAAAATTCTTCCCATTATGGAACTCACAGTGGTGATTCCAGACAGTCACGAAGGAATAGGCCATATAATTTAAAATGGTAGGCTCTTTGAAGGAAAGTAAGAGTGATTGACTGTCGAACGGGAGAGGAAGAAATTCTTTTGGTTTAGGTCAGCGGTTCCAACCTTCCTAATGCTGCGGCCCTTTAATACAGTTCTTCATGTTGTGGTGACGCCCAGCCATAAAATTATTTTTGTTGCTACTTCATAACTGTAATTTTGCCACTGTTATGAATTGTCATGTAAATAGCTGATATGCAAGATATCTGATATGTGACCCCTGTGAAAGTGTCATCTGACCCCCAGAGGGGTTGAGATTCACAGGTTGAGAACAGCTGGTTTAGGATGTGTGTTGTTTAAATTTTTTTTATCTACTTGATACAAACTGGATCACCTGGGAAGATGGAACCTCATTTGAGAAAAATGTCCTCATTTGGCCTGTAGACAATTCTGTGGCCTTTTTTTTTTTTCTTTTTGGTTTTTCAAGACAGGGTTTCTCTGTAGCCTTGGCTGCCCTAGATTTGCTTTATAGAGCAGGCTGGCCTCAAACTCACAGAGATCTACTTGCCTCTGCCTCCCTGAGTGCTGGGCTTAAAGGCATATGCTACCATGCCTGGCTCATTTTTTTTTTTTTTTCTTGATTACTGATGGATGTGCAATTGCCCCAGCCCACTGTGGGCAGTTACCACCTTTGGGCAAGTGGTAATGGGCTGTTTAAGAAAGCAGGATCACCATTAGCCTGGAAAGCAAGCAGGTAAGCAGCCTTCCTCCTGGATCTGCGTCATTTCTTGCCTTCTGGGTCCTGCCTTGGTTTACTGCTGTAACTTTGCCTGAAGGTTGGTAAGTTGTATGGTTTTCTTTCTTCCCCAAGATGTTTTTGGTTGTGATGTTTCTTTTCTTTTTTTCTTAATCTCAGAAGTGAAAAGCAAACTGGGATAATTAGGCATTTAAGCTTCTATTCATGAGATCTGAGGAAAGCAGTCAGGTGCTAAGAGTGAACTTAGCTGAGGGGGTCATATGGCTTAAGTATTATAGGGAGAAGGATCATAAGAAGTGCAGTTTGTGGTACAGAGGTTATGGGAGGTCAGGTCATGTTCCCTTTGTAGCCTGCAGAGAAGAGTTAGATTTTACTGTTTGCAATGGTGAAGTTTGTGAGAGAGTAGAAGCAAATTGACCTGTTAAGTTATTGCAGCCCATGTGGTGGTGGCCTTTAAGCCCAGCACTTGGGAGGTAGAGGCAGGCAGATCTCTGTGAGTTCGAGGCCAGCCTGGTCTACAAAGTGAGTTCCAGGACAGCGAGGGCTACACAAAGAAACCCTGTTTTGAAAAACAAAACAAACAAAAAAGACTTACAGTAGTCCTATCACATAAGGAAGCTAGTTTAGTCTAGATGGTCATAGTAGGTGGAGACAGGTGGATGAATTTAGGGTGATAGTTGATGTTATTTAATGAAATTGGCTATGTGTGTCCGCTGCTATTTGATTTCAGGAAAGAATAGATAGTGAAACAGTTTTGCCAGCATAACAGGAGGATTTAGTAGCATTTAATATTTACTCAATAAGAAATGCAAGAGAGTCAGAAGCACAACACAGAACCTCTCAAAACCCTAAAAATATTAAGTTCAAATTGGTTGGTTTGTGGTGGAAAATAAGGCCTTCCTTACAGGTTTGTTGTATTTAGAAAGGTCATGTATTTTCATATATGAGCATGTGAAAAAAATAATGGATACTTTTTTAAAACAAACAAACAAAAGGTGCAGTTTTATTTTTCGGAGTTTCTTTTCTTTTCTTTTTCCTTTTGCGGTACTAGGGATGAGACCCAGAGAGCCTTATGTATGCTGTTATCTGTGAGAAAACAGAGCTTAAAAGTCCATTTTAAAATAAAAGATTTACTTATTTTACATATGAGTGCTCTATCGGCATGTACACCTGCAGGCCAGAAGAGGGCATCAGGTCATATTATAGATGTGGTTGTTGGGTATAGAACTCAGGACCTCTGGAAGAGCAGGCATTACTCTTAACCGCTGAGCCATCTCTCCAGCCCCCAAAGGTCCATTTTTTAACCTTCCCCCATCTTAGTATCTTGGCTTCTGTTATTGCTGTGACGAGAACACAGTGACTCTTACAAAGAAAGCATTTAACAAAAGAAGGCATTTAATTGGGGCTTGTTTACAATTTCAGAAATTTGTCCATTATTGTCCTGGGAGGGAGCATGGTGGCACTCAGGCAGACAAGATTCTGGAAAGTATCTGAGAGTTCTGTATCCACATGTACAGGCAGCAGGGAGAGACTTTGGTCTGGTATGTGCTTTTGAAACCTCAAAGCCCACACCCAGTGACATAATTCCTTCAACAAGCCCACTCCTCCTAATCCCTTCAAATAGTGCCACTCCCTGGTGTCCAAGTATTCAAATATATGAGCCTACGGGGCCATTCTTATTCACACACCTTTGTTGTTGTTTCTATTTGAAACTGGGTCTCTCTGTGTAGCCCTGGCAGTAAAGGAGCGTGCCACCGTCAGCACCATGATTCCTCTTTTTATTTTTCTTCTTCTTCTTCTTTTTTTTTTTATGTATTGGGGTGTATGCCAGGACACACGTGTCCTGGAACAACTTGCAGGAGTTAGCTGTCTCTTTACTGTGGGGGTTCTGGGAATTGAGCTCAGTCATCAGGCCTGGTGGCACACAAGCATGTATACTCACAGTGCCATCTCCCCTACCCGAAAGTCCAGTGTTAGGGCTAAATTGCAAGGTTTTCTTCGGAGGTCAGAATGAGATAGAATGGTCTTGTTGACTTCGGTTAAGTCAAGTCTCAAGGTGTCTCTCCTGTCTGTTAGGTTAGGAATGCTTGGTCATAGAGGAGCCCTGCCTGAGCTGGAGAGACACGTGTGTGTGTGTGTGTGTGTGTGTGTGTGTGTGTGTGTGTGTGTGTGT